CACGTGTGAACAAGTTAATCCGGATTAGTTTAGCTCGGGTCCTGGTCATGAATTCCGTGTTCAACCCCGAGTTGACACAACAGTGAACACCGTGGATTAGAACAACAGTTTAACGGCGCGCCGAATGTTACGGTTCGTTATAATACAACTTTGAAAATATTTCATTTTTTTTTTCACTATTACCAATAAACATAACTAATAAAATATAAACCTCTGCGACGTATAAACAGAACGTAACGCATGATTAGCCCACTGATAAATATCCATGTAAAAGTCTACGTATTTAAATCGAAAAATGAGATTTGATCGTTTCACTTGAATCAAGGCAGGTAGACATGGAGTTGGTTTGTGCAGTATGGAAATTAATACAATGGCCCACACCGGCGGCAGGTGTTAGCAGCAACACGAATCACAGCTACTCTGATAACATCCGCTAGTTATTGTGTGGTTGGCACAGGCGTTCGTACAGAGTCGTCGATCCGTATATGCTAGCAATGCTTCAACAGGAAAAGCAAGAGATACATGGCTCGTCGTCACGACCAGGGACAGGTGCAGAATTCACAGCCTTCTTCACATAAGGTGCAGGAAAGTGTTCTTTCGATTATTTTGCTTTATGCCAAGTCTGTCAGTTTCCATAGTGTTTTACATATTGTATAGCATGTCTACGTCATGCAGAACAGACGTGATTCGCAGTTTATTTTGTAGCTCCGCTGTCGACGAAGTCGAGCGGAGCTTAGTATTACTGTTTGTCGTCGCCACCTTCGCCGTCGTCAACTTTAAATTGTCGATTTCTTCTTAAAAACCACAAACTGTATAGCTGTGAAACTTCCTAGGAAGGTACATTGGGTGGTTCTCTGTCAGATTTGTTAATTTCGTGTGGATATGTTCGATTGTCTTATTTATAGCGAATATTTTTGTCATTTTTGGTCAAAAATGCTATTTTCGACTTCTTCTTGAAAACCGCTAGCCCATATGCTTTGATACTCGGTATGTAGGTACCTTTGGTGGACCTTTCTCAGATTTGTTCATTTTGTGATGATATCTTTAATTGTCTAATTTTGATAAATATTTTTGTCATTTTTAGTGAAAAGTGATATTTTCAAATGTTTGTTGAAAACAGCAAGTCTGATTGCTTTAATACTATACATATTGCTCATTTTCTGATGATATCTTCTGTTCTTTAATTGAAATGTGCATTGATAACAGCGGAGTTAGTTTACATCGGGTTTCGATCTTTTACCGCATTCTGTGGTATGGTGGAAGCAAGGTGTTTTCATCAGTTCATTTATTACCGATACATATGAGGTAAGAGTAAAGATGTCACGTGTGCAAGTTTTCGTTTGCACATCGGTTAGTTAGTTTTAATCACATACATTGGTCGTGTTATTGTGATAATGCTTGACTTTATTTTTTATTGGTGCATTGGTCATTTAATAACGTGAGTATATCAGGTGTGTAGGGATATACCTCTACATACGCGTGGTATTCAAGTTCACCACATTTGTCGTACGTATAGTCGTAAATCTTGGTTTCAACCATTTATTGAGGCTCAGGAAGGGGTATGTTCGTAAGCTGTAATCACTTGTTTTTATTCTCATAATAATGTAATTTAAATAAATAAAAAAACGTATATTCGTAGACATGAGCAAGGTGTAAAATGTAATCAGCTATTTAATACGACCGTAATTTGTACAAAGATATTAATTTTGTAAGCGTCTAAATCAATTTCCAACTTTGATTATTAAACTGAAATTATTAAAAATATTATTAAAATGTAAAATTTTATTAGAAATTTGCTTTATCTGTAAAGTGTAAAGACAATTTTTTTTTACTGTAAATGGAACTTTCATTTTATTTCCTGTAAAAATGTAAAGTGCCGTTTTCATTTCCTGTAGCCTGTACCACTATCCCCCTGCACGGTTGTGCGGAACTACTATTTGTGCATGTATGCACGGTAGTGCAGGACCAATGTTTGTGTGTGTAGGCACGGTTGTGCAGGACAAATTTTGTGTGTGTAGGCACGGTTGTCTGGAACCAATATTTGTGTGTGTAGGCACGGTTGTGCAGGACCAATATTTGTGTGTGTAAGCACGGTTGTGCAGGACCAATATTTGTGTGTGTAG